AAGTCGCCAGTTCTCATCTTCCAGCTCCCCAGATACTCCGCGTACTAAAGTTGTACTACAAAGTCGCCAGTTCTCATCTTCCAGCTCCCCAGATACTCCGCGTACTGAAGTTGTACTACAAAGTCGCCAGTTCTCATCTTCCAGCTCCCCAGATACTCCGCGTACTAAAGTTGTACTACAACTTCGCCAGTTCTCATCTGCCAGCTCCCCAGATACTCCACGTACTAAAGTTGTACTACAAAGTCGCCAGTTCTCAGCTTCCAGCTCCACAGATTGCTCCGCGTACTAAAGTTGTACTAGAAAGTCGCCAGTTCTCATCTTCCAGCTCCCCAGATACTCCGCGTACTCAAGTTGCACGACAAAGTCGCCAGTTCTCAGCTTCCAGCTCCACAGATTGCTCCGCGTACTAAAGTTGTACTACAAAGTCGCCAGTTCTCATCTTCCAGCTCCCCAGATACTCCGCGTACTAAAGTTGTACTACAAAGTCGCCAGTTCTCATCTTCCAGCTCCCCAGATACTCCGCGTACTGAAGTTGCACTACAAAGTCACCAGTTCTCAGCTTCCAGCTCCCCAGATACTCCGCGTACTAAAGTTGCACTACAAAGTCGCCAGTTCTCAGCTTCCAGCTCCACAGATTGCTCCGGGACAAGTCGCACTGCATTTCGCGCATCCGACACGCACGATCTCCGCAGAGGGTTGCCCGCGACCGGGACAAAGCGCACTCTCGCCTGCATTTCGCGCATCCGACACGCACGATCTCCGCAGAGGGCCAGGGTTGCCCGCGACAGAGACAAATCGCACTCTCGCCTGCATTTTGCGCATCCGACACGCACGATCTCCGCAGAGGGTTGCGACGGACAGAGACAAATCGCACTCTCGCCTGCATTGCGTGGGCTCGACACGCACGATCTCTGCAGAGGGTTGCGTTTCGTGGCGGTCCGGCGGCACTGCCCCCGGCCTTAAGAGAGAAAGTTAAGAAGAGCGAGAGGTGAAGATGTGAGCTGTAGATGTGAGGATGTGAAGATGAGCAGAGATGTAGATGTGCAGATGTGAAGATGAGCAGAGATGAAGATGAGCTGAGATGAGCAGAGATGTAGATGTGTGAAGATGATGAAGATGAGCAGAGATATAGGTGAGAATGTGGATGTGCAGAGGTGAAGATGTGAAGATGTAGATGATACGTAGATGATACGTAGTTCTGCAGATGCTTTTTTACGAAGAACCCTTCGCAGACGCTCTCGGGAATAATCAACGCTTCAGCTTCAGGGAGGAACCGTGCAAATTGCAGCAAAAGGTGTTGAGAAAATGCACACGATTATTGCTGTTTATAGCAGCTAATACAATCACATAGCTCTCAAATGCTCTTAGCCCTTAGCCATTTCTCTCCGGCTTCACCGCTGCCCCGTCGCGAGTCTTGCCTGGCGCAAAGCATTCAGCGAATCCAGCGGCTCCCGAGCAGCCTTCCTCCCGGCGCCGTCGGGTCTTGTCAAATAGCTTCTTGTTACTACTAGTAAGGCACCTGTTACTACTAGCGTGGCACCTGTTACTAGTAGCTTCTGGTTACTACTAGTAAGGCACCTGTTACTACTAGCGTGGCACTTGTTACTACTAGCGTGGCACTTGTTTCTACTTGCTTCTTGTTTCTACCATATTATGATCGAAATGGAGAGGTCTGGAAGCCAAGGAACAAAACAGATTCCTCGATGATTCCTCCACAAGTTTGACCGATTTGGCATCTGCACTCCAAACTGAGCAGTGCAAATGGTGCTTGGCACAAACACTCACTATGATGTCGAGTGAAATGATGACATGTTGTTTCAATGAAGTCTCTGCTACATTCTACTAACATTCTATTTCGACACATCAAATACCCTGCTGCCTTTCCCCTGCACAGTAGCTCACGGCTGTTCAGTCCTCACTGGGAATTGGGGCGTCGGCATGGCCTCCACCTTCTCACGAGACCTCTTTTTGCTGCCCTCCTGCCTCAGCCGGGCAAATTGCAGCAAGGCTGGGGATGCACAAGTGTTCAAATAATTTCAGTTACTTTGAATGGCTCACCCTATATTGTAGTGCAAATATAGTCAGGTCAAGTCTTCCTTTTGAGGTTTCGCTACTGCAAGCTTCCAAAATGACTAGAGGTACCAACTCTGCCGGTTTCCAGCCAAGACACGCCTTCACCGGCGTTGGTTTGCGCAGCATTGAAGCCTCTTCCTGTCGCTTCAACACCTCCTTGGCATCGGCCGCCGTAGTTCTCCTCAGACCGATCGAGGAGGCAGCACTGCGCAAGACCTCACCTTTGGGGCACAACATGAGCACCACAGGGACGCTACTAGGGGCTCCTGGCCTTACTACTAGGAACAAGGTTCGCTATTAGAAAAATGAAGCTACGAATTCGTATTCAATTTAAATTAGAATTAGAAAGTAGTGGTTGGATCCCCCAACATCACGTAGGACCTACCCGGACCAACCCCACGAAGGTCTTGACTTCAAAAAAAAACATCAAGGGCAATGAGTTCGCCACCCTGGCAATAAATTGATGCCAACACCAACTGGCGCCCAAAATCCATGAATCGGGGTGCCGTATGAGCTGCATACAAACATGCAAACAAGGTCTTCTCAAGGATACCAAAATCTTGAAGAGAAAAATCAAGGGAGTCCCCCCCCGCACACAAGGCGAAATGCCATGAGCTGGGTGCAGGATCCTCACATTAAAGGGCCACACCATCGAGTCGGTGGACTTGGGTTTTCTCTAAGTTGCTTTGGACTTTGAATTGGGGAGAATCCTTGATCTCATGCCCATTCTCTTAATGTCTTCCGAACTCACACCACACCCGACAAAAGAACTGATATGAACTGACCCCATAGCAAACATGTCCAAAGAACCTGGAGAACTGGACATCAATGCTTGCATCTGGCCAAGGCTCCTGAGGCTTCGAGCCTCTTCTTCGAAGGCTGCCTGCTGCTCGGGCGACAAAGCAAACCACTCCTGGGCCGAGCTGAAGTCGCATCCCTCGGCGAATGGAATCGCAAGTGGCGGGCAATCAGCTTTGCGCGGAAAGAGATGATGCAATTGGTCATGGTTTATTCAGGTGCAAAGGTCTTCAACGATGCGTATGGTTAACATGAACATGTGTCACATCGTGTCACTATTTCTACCGTGCTGACCATGAAGATGTAGTAAAACTGCAGATACATTGGAACCGAAGGTTGGACATCAAAGATTCGGAGGTTCACTATGTTGAGACATATCCACCTGGACAAGCCTGGCTGGCTTGCTTCACAAAGTGGGTGTTTCAAAGTCCAGATCTCACTGCAACGCCAACAGCTACCATATCAAACGAGTAACCGCTAAATATGTTTTTTTGAGTAGCAAAAGAAGATCTCATCATATCTCAACAAGGTCGATGGTCGGATGGTCGTGTAGTCCCCCCAACCCAAGGAAAATGTTCAAATGGACATAGAGCATGATGTTTCATCGAGTTTCTCTTCCACAAACAAACCAAGTCTTTCAGATGCTTCGATGATCTTTGGATGGATAAAGATCGATTCTGGGGATCGTGCCGTTACTTGCCAAATACATTCAAACACCTAGGTTTACATCCTGGGTCCTCGATTTCCCATGATTCATCGAGCTCGGTGTCCTTTATCAAGCTCCATGCTGAACGTCGTTGAACGTCGTTGAACGTGTTCGGCTCACGCTATGCGGAAGGCTCCTGGCGGAGTGTGGGGAAGCTCTTGGGCGTTCCCTTCTCCGCTGCCTCGGCTCGCCGCCTGGGACCGAGGCCAACGGAGCAGAAAAAGGCCGCAGAAATGCGAACGCACATGGAGAACCTGCACGGGTATCCTGACAAAACCATGCATAAAGAAAACAAAAGAATCAGTTGAATTGAGAGTGGAAAGAACACTTGGGATGTAGCTTTTTAAGCAGAGTTGACAGAATGTGCTCTCACCAGAGCCAGGTTCCTCACCGTTCCGCCATCCACGCCTCACCAAGAAGATCCCCATCGCTCGCATGGAGTCCTCACAGGTCGACAGTTCGACCGGTTTTTCTTAACCGAACGATTGGTCTGAATGGCTATTCATTCAGGCATTCAGATGAATCAGTTCTCCTACTTTACTTGTACAAAAGGATCACAAAACGGCAATCTGTTTAACAAATCCATAATGACATCAATCTGTCCTGTTTGGGGTGACCCATCACTTCTATGGACCTGACTACCTCATCAAGTCAAACAGCTTTCGCACTGACTCCTCGGGGCTCCCAGTTTTCACGCAGGCCATGGCGTACCGAAGTCGTCTGGTCTGAGCTAAGACCACTCTCGTTGCTGGTGCAACTCCCAAACCTGTTCGACTTGGTCTGTGGATTCTGACCTGAAGCAAAAATAACTTAAGCCAATGGAAAGCCGAGGTCCGCATGGACTCCGCAGTTTTGGTCTGTCCCGGAGAGTCTCCGGTCAGTGTTTGTTTGGTTCACGCCTAGCTAGCAGAATGCCTAGCGGCCTAGCAGTTGCGGTGCTACCTGCAAAATCTGCATGATGCGAATCATGCTGTGCCTGAAGTCGGTCAGTTGCTTCTCAAATTCGAGGTGCTTTAACCTCACAAGAAACCACTCAGCCATGCATATGGGACACTCCAGTGTCATCGCTTCAGCTGTCATAGTTCTCGGATCATCGGACTCTTCCCCTATGAGTCTATGAGCCAAGCGGCTAAGTACGACAACGGGATTGGACAAACACAAACCTTCAAGGAGTGCAGTACAGTAGCTACTTGTGAAGATTTGTTCAAAACTCCTCCGTCCCTCGGCTTCCGATGCCTTGAAGAAAACTCATCATCTCAAATCTGTTCAAAAGGTGGGTCCAACCTCCTGTGAAGCGTTTCATCTAGTGAGCTACTGGAAATTTGGGGACAACCACACCAATCAGTGACAGGCGGAGGGTACCTGTTGGATCCTGTTGGTAAATACCCTCCGACTCACTAACATGGAAGTGCAAAACCCCCTGTTTCTGTGGAGGAATGTATACCATGTTGGAGGTTCGTGCACCTGTTCCAACCAGCTCAAGGAAATTGAAGCAGCTCATGTCAGGACAGTCAGGACATGTCAGGACCATACCATCTACTGAGGAGTGCTCTTCCACCCGTCGACCCAGTGCCATTTCTTCCGCGGGTCCGGCGCGCACAGCGCCCTCCGGCGGATCACAGCTCCGTATGCCTGTCGGGCTGGCTGACGGCTGGGCCAAATTTGCTGTTGGCGTAGGCCACGTTCAAAGTATAGACTCAAACATCAGGAAAGGCTTCTGCATGTTGGATTTGGAGCGCCATTGGTGTCTGAAGCTAAGCAGTCTGACAGTCCGACATCGACTCAGAACCGCCACTCCCACCTGGCACGACCAGGTGCCAAGGTGTCGTTCGTCAAGTCCACCTGGCCACGACTCTCGCCGAGTGGCCCTAGGGAGCCATAGGGATGAGACACAAAACCAACACTGAACTGCAGGTATTGAAGAAATGGGTACAATGATGAATGGTTCTTGCTTATTGTTCAACCCAATGTCGCATCTCCTAGTTCAGAATCCCCAAAACTGTCCACCTCCAGATCTGATCGGATCAACCCTAGCAATCTTTTGCGGTGTCCACCCTGGTCTGCTCCAAGCGGCCAGGAAGTCCCGAGGCAAAATGCTCACGATGTGGTCCGAGGTAAAGTTCACTGCGACATGCGTCCTCCACATCTGGGCACGTCTTGTCGCTCACGTCTTGTCGCTTTCGGGATCTAAAAACAAAAAAGAAAGCATCATTTCATGGACAAGCGATGGGTACACTCAGTAGTACCGCTTGAACCGCCTTTGCACAACAATCAATTTACAAGGTCCTTGAATACCTGGTGCTTGTGAGGCATCCTCACACATCCTCTTGTGCCGGTTTCCACTGGCAGGTCTTTAGCACTTCCGAAGCACGACGCCAGAAAACGTGCATCGCATGCCAAGCGGTCGCATGGCCAGAACAGGCGAACAGATCCAAACGGTCGCCATGCAACAACACCCGGCCTGGTGGTGTTCACCACCACAGCCGGCTCGGTGCGCCTCGGCGCGGTTGAACCGGACAGCTGTGAGATGAAGAAGGGACCACAAAATTCAAACGATGGTCCTCTATGGTCCCACGACTTCATGAATACGGAATGTTGAAGATTGCATTATTGTCCTTAGAACTTTAGAGATCTTGAAAAGTCTTGTATCCCATGCTCATACATCAGTTCTCAGGATTTTGGCATGTTCTTGCACCCCAAATAAACGGAAGAACCTGAAACAACGACCACCAGGCGCCGCGGCCGGCTCTTGACCAGCTCTTCCCCAGCGTCCTTGGTCTTCACAGCGAAGTGGGCCTGGTCATGGTGACTGGACCAGGCTGAAACCGGAGCTCAAAGCGCCAACAAAAGAGGTGGTTAACGGTTAGAGCATCAGCTCCAGGTGCTTTGAAAAAGAATGGAGCCGGTTGACATGGTCAAAACAACGTCCTGTTGGGACACGAATGCCCGTGCGAGACGAGAAGAGGTCGACCTAAATTCCTAGATCATGGGGTCTGCACACCCATACTAGCCGCCGTTACTAGCCAACCCTTCAAAGGAACACCAAAAGCTACCATTGCAGGTTCCTGGGCTAACTTTCGCTGACAGAGTCCATGCACGTTCTGTCATTCTGTGTCCTTTTTTCGAAGAGTCTTTTTCTAACCGCGCCCTCCACCAGCGACCTCAGAAGGTTGACTTTGTGCATATCGATCGCATACACTAAATAGTCGAGGTAGAGCTTGCACGGTAGTGGCTTTCAACGCAGCCTTGGGCAATGGGATGTCCTGGACATCCCTTTGAAGTCCAACTTCAGTTTCATCCGTCGAAGCCTGCACCAAATCCCCGGGCCGAAGCCCAGAAAGCACTGTGAGCTCTTGGGGCTTGAAGTACCTGGCCAAATGGGCGATGCGTGGGTAAGAGCGCATTGTGACATCAGATGTGACGTCTGTTGTTTTGGTCATTTGCTGAGTCCCTTGAAGCAATAGGATTGCCTGCACTGTGAGAATACGTCATCAAGATGCATCATGTCATAAGATGTCCCTGCACGGGGCAATCATGATCCATGTGAATGAGAGCGTTATCTGAAAGAACAAATAGTAGTGAGTAATGGTAGTTTCTTTTCTTTTCTTGTCTTGTCTTGTCTTGTCTCGTCCTTTCCTTTCCGTTCCGTTCCTTTCCTTTCCTTTCTTTCTCTCTCGACGCCATGACACAGGTAACACTTGAGAGGAGGGAGACACGAAAGGTAGGACAGCGGGAAGAGAAGAGAACGCGAGAGGCAGGAACAAAAATGCAATGTTCGACATGGTGATTTATCCCCTCGGAGGCGACCTTTCGCAAATATATGTTCATATGCACTCTAAATGTTCAAACATATGCTCTCGAAAGGTTCAAAAAGATTCTTAGGAAAACAAACTTGCCCCATGGCTCAGATCATCGGTGAGCATTGAATCGGAACATCATAGGATTTGAACTATCCTGAAACCATAAGAGGCTCACGAAGACGCTCCCCAGGAGAGAATTGACGTGCTTCACAAAACAAACTCTAGGTATGTATCCCCTCGGGGAACACCTTTCGTGATTAGAATTTCATATTCACTCTTTCTGAATGTTCAAGAGGGTTTCAACTATCCTGAAATCATGAGAGGCTCACGAAGACGTTCTCCAGGAGAGAATTGATTTTAGAGGGGGAGGGGGGGGGTGGGGTCTGTATTGAAAAATCAATTCCAAGGGGGCGGGGGCGGGGGGTTCTGTATTGAAAAATCTATTCGAGGGGGGGGGGGGGTCCTGAATTGAGCGATCAATTATTCGACCCGGACGAGCCGACACTTGCTTCGCAAGACAAACTCAAGGTATCCCCTAAAGAGCTACCTTTCTTGATAAATTTTCATTGATGTACCCATCCAAATCCAAACACACCCACCCAACTGTTTTGGGTGTCCATGGTGCCCATGCGGACCGCGAGTCACGTCCGCAGTTGTTGATCTAAATGAATGGCACAACGATCATCCCACCACTCCACATGTCCGGCCTGAATTCGATGTTGTGGTACCTCGACTTTGACATTGCAGAGTCAGTTGCAATGTGTGTAACACGACCAGTGAAAGGGCTTAAAGTAAATCTTCTCTGAATTGAGGGATTGGCAGCTGGATACTGAGATCCCATGGCAGCTTGAGGCAATGTGGATTGGCAAAATGATGTATAATGCAAGTACTTAGTACTCGCTATCAACCCGTCCCACCTAATACCGGTTCTCAATATCTATCAACGCGTACATCAACATCCAACCATCAACAACTCATCATGAACAATTAGAATCCTGCTTCAACCACAACAAAAGAAGTCAAGTTAGTAGAGTCGCGTCAATCACTTCACTGGACAACCGAGTACCTCTTTGACATGTCTTTATTGGCCTCCAACCTAATAGCGGCAAATCTTGCTGTCAGGTGCCCCAAATCACCTACAAGTAGATTTGACGCTCCGCCGCTAACGCGGCCGTGCTGCTCCGAATTCTCGTCCTTCTTCTTCGCGGGCTTCCGCTTGTTCCACCGCTCTGTCTTCCTCCGGTGTCTTCGACCATCCACGGCCAAAACAAGACCCGATCAAAAAGCTTTGTCTTTTTGTCGTGGAGGTTGTTTTGGGGTCTCTTCCATATGGCATCCCTAGCGCCATTCGTAGCCCCCTCTCTCTTGTCGTGCACCTGATTTCAGCCAGGGGGGCCCACAAAGCTTGTCACTCTCAACTCACAAACGATGGAACAATAAGACTGCGCAACTTGCTCTCCATTCAATTCCACCCTTGGGAACATCAAATTGCATAGTCGGCTAGCCTTCGTAGGGACACTACGCAAACCGGCAAGACATCTATAATCACATAAACATACATAAACCATTGGTTTGGGGAATCTAGTCTCAGACTCATATCAAGCAAAGCTCCTTAGTCAAGACATGTTCAGCAAAGCTTACTAACTCACATTCTGACTCTGGGATAGAACCAAGCGAAGCATCACACGAGGTCTGAAGTGGGACAAGGCTCACTTCCTCTTTGGAGCCGTCCTTGGGCATTGTCGAGTCCCATCGCTACTAGTAACAAGAACGCTACTAGGCGCTCCTGGCCTTACTACTAGGAACAAGAAGCTACTAGGGGCTCCTGGCATCGCTACTAGTAGCAAGAAGCTAGTAGGTTGGAGGCCATCGCATGTCCGGGTGCCCAAGGTCGTGAACTTCGGGAAAAAAACCGGTGCGTCCTTGCTCCTAGTAGTAAGGCCAGGAGCCCCTAGTAGTGTCCTAGTCCAGCTCAAAAAAGAATCATAAACGCTGCCCCCAACAAACCGTGTTCATCATGAAACGAGAAATATGCAGGCAGTGCCCAGTTCCTCCTAATTGCTCCACCCTTTGCTTTTCAGCTGAGCATCCTGAAGGAGGACAGTGTATTCTTCGAGAACGTGGTACGCCCGGTGGACGATGCCCGTGCCGCAGCACGTACCATTCTCATGGATGTAGGACACAAGAACGCCTCCGAGGCACAAACGGCTCTGGTGTCAAGGGTTGAAGACTTACTTGTTGTTCAAAGACCATCCCAAGTCATCAAAAGAGACATGTGCCATCAAAAAACACTGTACGTTGCATACTGCATGCTCGATTGCGATTGAGCTGCACTTTGCAGCTTGCACCATTGATTCAACGTGTTGTTGTGAAAAACAAAGACTGCCCATCTCCTCTAAAATCCCTTATATACCACCCCTCATTCCAACTTGAAAGCTGGCCGTTCGATGGTACCTGGTACGAGTATTGTCTTCTTTCACAGGAAATTCGAGAGACTACTAGTCTCAAGGCAAGGCTGCAACCTGGTGATGACATACAAGCTTGCCCGGCTTTCTCTTCTGGAACAGTCTCTCAAATTCTCAAATATTCAATATTCCGGCTTTCTGGCGCCTTTGTCGATCCAAGGTCGCACATGCGGCTTCTGGCCCTCTTCGTCCGAGCCACAATCATCCGTGAATCCTGCCAAGCCAATGAGGCTCTCCTTGGTTGCTGGGAGAACTATAGAGGTCCGAGTCCTAGTCCTATTTGGGTTGAATTCAAGACCTCAACAGGTGTCTCAACATGGGGTAGGTGTCAAACAGGTGATCCATCTCTCTTCTTTCCCGTTCACTGATTGCGCCACGTCCGCGTCCGCCCCAAACGTGGTGGCCAGTGCGTCCCACCAGGTCGTTGACGGCTGATCCGTTCCAGGCGTCCGCCTCGCAATAGGCCACGTCGTCTTCCACGCAGCGTTGCTCTGTGGTGCACCAACCACCACCCTTCGCCAGGCAGGACCTGGTGGACATAGCAAACACAGGAGAAAGGCACCCGCACGCCGGAGGGTTCGGGCATGTTAGGAGTTCTTGTTAAAGGGACTGTTGGTGCTATAGTCGAAAGAGTAGTTTGTTGAGTTCAAGACCCAAGTTTTTTCCTCATGCTCAAAGGACTTCAGTATCAAGGTTAATGGAAGGATTCAGTAAGTATCAAGGTTAATTGAGTTCCAAAATAGTATGGAAGTTTGGAGCTATTCAAAGAGTGCCCGTTGGAAAAGAGAGCCTTTCATCATGCTATTTTGTAGCCCAGCCAATCCATCATTGTATGTAAATAAGAGATACCAGAAGTTGCATGTGATAGACTCATCAACAGTTCAGAACTAAACTCACATTGTGAAAACGAAGATTTGAAATACCTCGACAAAATAGGCAGCAACTCATCAAAAGTTGCTCGCACTACGGATGATCTACAAACCAGTGGCATCCAGAAATTATAATCAACGGTCCACCCAACGCAATTTGCCCCTTGGGCTCGCCACTCGCAGGTCTCTGCCAGGTCGAGCTCTTCCTGGGCTCGTTGGATAATCCTCACCAAGTGCCTAGTCACTTAGCAAACTACGCAGTGTTCTCTTGGTGCGCAAGGGCTACGATGTTCTACGTTGAGGTGTTGGAGTCCCCCGTGACTGACTCGTGACAGAACTCCTGACTCACGCCGCAAGGAGGACCCTGGTCGCATGAATATTCGGTGCATGTGGATGTGAGCCACAGGTGAATTATATAACAAAGGAGCACCTCCTCTGCAAGTCGGTAATCGTTCAACCAACTCAGGATGGATTGGAACCAGATCAAATTATGTTGAATCACATTGTATAGTGTATATACTGTATATAATATACAATATATATATATATGTGTATGTGTGTATACCGGCCAGTTTGAGACATGTCACGTGAGGTCACATGTCTATTTCTCAGAAAGTGTTCTTCTCCCTTCTCCCGGGAAGGCCAAGTCTCCAGGTCAGCCAGCGCATGGCCTCGAAACAAAAACGCTGACAGGTGTCCTTTTTGTACATGTTTTGTTCCAACACCCAAAAGAATGAGAAAAACCTGGTTAGGCAAACCTTCAGCGGAATATTCCATGCAAGACCTGGCTCTTCCCCAGTCTGGTTGATGAGGAGTGTGTGATCCAAACCGTGGGTTCCCCCAGCAGACACATTATGGTGCCATACCTTTAGAAGTTCAGGAATGATGCCATAACACTATGTATAATCCAGAGGAGGCTCTGTTGCCTGGCTTACATGGTGACGCAGGATTGTAAAGACCAACTTTGGGGCATCTGTTTGGCAGGATTCACACCAGCACTGGGTCAGGATCAGTCAGGATAGCACGTCCTATCTCTTCCGGAGTCTTCCTTCCGTTTTCTTTCCCAGTTCTCCTGCAGGCTGAGAACCAACTAGGCAGGCAGCCGTCGCCACCGTCCACGCCCAACACATCCGACGGTCCGACCGCACCGAATGACACCGGATGACACCGGATGAAACCCGTCACGACTGGGTGGTGCTGCGTTGATAGAGTTGTGCTGGGTTGGCGGTTGGTGTGGTCTCTTTCAAAAGGACACAAAGGAGGGGTTGGTCAAAGTTGGTACAAAACTGGACGACAAGCATTTCGTGTGACGGGACGTCGGAAACAAATCCACGCTTGCTAGCATGGTAGAATGCTGAATACACTACACCACAATATGATACATGTTCTGCAGAGTGGGCAAGATTCAGTGCCAAGGTTTCATGGACTTGTTGGCAGGCTGATGGGTACGAGTTATGGTCAAAAAGGCAGACCTGCACTTCCCAAGAACTCTTCGTTTCATACTTGCATGCATGGAAACCTTTTGATGCTAAATGCTGCCGGTCAATGTGCATGACTACAATGGCTCTCAACCAAGGCCAAGGCCTATCCAATTCTATCCTTGTTGGGCACACGTATGATTCCTTAGACGGGCGCTTGCACCAGCATAAGAGTGTGTATGTCTTTGCTGGGGACGTGCATCAATGGGGAAAGACCAAAAAGAACTGACGTCCAGCCGCAGCCACCAGCGATGAGAATACTGTAACTCAACAATGTGGCCAAATCTCTCAGCATCCATGGCATTGAGAGCCTATGCCCCAGTGTGTGATCTAAGAACCTTTCACCACGGCTTCGGACCCCGCTCGCAAATCCTCTTGTTTTTCCTTCGGCATCTTCTCTTCTCGGCTCAAGATCCGTCAGGACGGAGGATTTTTGGCGCATCAAGAGGTCAAGACCGCCCGAAGAGATCGCCAGAGTTTCCCGCACGGTTTCCACACCCAACGCTTCGCCCAATGTGTCCTGCTTCGCCCAATGTCGCACGCCGTTCGGCCAGAGAGAACACCAACATGGACCAACACATCCTGGTCCGAGGTTGCCGAGCGCGTCGTCGCTGGAGGCCGCGGCCGGCAGTGTCAAAGTGCCTGCGTGTTAGGAAATGCCAACGAGCAAGGAAACCCACAGCGACTTGAGATAGTTCGGTTCATACAAAAGGAATGAAAAAGCATACAGTATATGATGTAAATGAATTATATACAGCCCATGTCTGTGATCAGCCACTCCAAGTCGCCAGTTTTTGTGCCATCTATATACTGAACCCACTGTACAACTCTGTACAACCATCGATTGCCTTTTGACTGCTGATGAATACCATCTGAGAAAGGCAGTGAACGTTTTCGTCAGGAACAGAAACATCGAAGTCGAAAAATGACATTCTGGGAGCACGTTCTTGTGCAAAGTGGAACACTCACTTGTCTTCTTGACCCAGACCTTTGACCATGCACAGGCAAAAAAGTCTTCCAGCAACCAAAACTGCGCGACCTGTCTAGGACAATCAATCTCTTTGTAATGGACAGGTGTCTTGGCACTCTCAATGTTGTGGCAGTAGGTCCAAAGTGTGGCAGGCAATTCGGACAAATCCTCCTCAAAACCCTTCCTCCGGGCAAGTCAGAAAGGCCTGAAGAATCACAGCTTGCGGCGTTCACGGGAGCCAATGGGATGGATGCAAGTACCTGGCCAACGGTTTCTGATTTGGAGGTCACACATCGTTCTGGTTGTAGGCAACATGAGAGGGGATGTGAGCTGATAAGAACAGTTTCGGGATAAGATTCTAGCCGCCAAATGAAAGGTCGGCCAGGCCCAGCTTGGCGCTTCTTCGGTCGAGCAGTTTTTGTTGAACCTCATTTGGGTTTTGCACTTACAGGTTGAGCCACACGACTTGTGAAGACAATTCAAAACACGAGTACTGCTAAGCTGGGACTAGTAACTTTGCTACACCCCCTTTGTGCCATCCCATGCACGGGGACGACCAGCATGAACTAGTTTGTAGAAATCGGTTCGGCCGTGAGACTGGTGTTACACCACTGCTATTCCTGCCAATGTCACACAAGCCATGCCAACAATGCTGAAACATGAACTGCGCCGCTTGCATGCAATCATGGCTGGTATTTGTACCAGCCGCGCCCATCGTTGGACCACCAAACGCCCCAGCACTCACCATCACAATGAGGACAGCATCGTTGCACTGACGTAGTGGGAACCATTCAGCTTCGACTAGCGGCTGTTGATGCTGGCTGAGGTCTTTTGCCGCTCGGCTTGGTCACTCCGGTGCTTCTTATGCTCGATCAAGCGAAGTGCAGGCTGCAGCGAATTGGCCGTTAGCCCTTTCCACATCATCTAGGTGCTTCACACGTGTGACCCCAGTAAACCTTTCCAAATTAGATCAAAATTAGCATCGTCAAACGCTTCGGTCCTCAAGCCCACGCCAAAGGTCACCTGCTGCCGTGTTCGTGGTGGACGGCACAAATGTCCATAAGGCAAGCACCTCTTGAATCATGTCATTGCTCAGTCATGTGCTCAATAAACGTGGCTTCAGCACTGTAGCGATCGACAAATTCCGGTAAGCCCAGCGCATGCTCACATTCCTCAGCCATGTGTCTTAAGGACACATCTGCCCACGGGCATCCGTCCTTGCCGATCTCTTGACGTCAGCCGTGAGGCCAGCGTGCCCAAGGTTTCTCAAGAGCTTGGCTCGCTTCACCAGCAGCATCTCCCGACGCTCCGAGTCCTTTTCAGCATCCTTTAGCAAACGGGAATGCTGCCCTTGACCGTCGTGGGTGCGGCTCTGGCCGGTATCAGCGATAGTGGCTGTGTTTGCAGGCTCAGCCACACAATATGTTTACTGTTAAGCGGGGCCCACTGCATTTTTGAGCATTCACAGCTAAGGGTAGAGGTATCCGCCGACCCCAGCCGATGGCAGGGGAGCGCGTCAGAGAACACTGCTGCATCCGGCTCCGTGCAGTTACTTGGTGCATGTTCACAGGGGTTCAACAACTGCACTATTCGTGGCAGCGAGGACACGACTAAGCGATGGACACCGGACGGATATCGTTGCGCCGGAGCTGCAAGTATTCAGGTTACATGCATGCTTGCAAAATTTGGCTTTAGCCCTCTGGTTGGGGGCGCAGACTGCCTTCCGTGCGGGTGCAAAACGCACGAGGCCGACCACCGCTGTGGTAGAGCAGATCGTGGGGGCCTCCAATCAGGGTGCTGCAACACTGCTCCATCCTGCCGTCAGAAAGCAACGCTTGCCGGGAGGTCCTGGAGAACGGCTCATGGGAGAGGAGAAGAAAAGAGATTTTTACTGCCGTCAGAAAGCCACGTTTGGCACTGAGAGAGCAGCTCGGAGGATGAAGTTTTGGTCGTTTTTGCGTGGAATTAGATTGTGGAAAGCGTGGCGAGGGAGATCGCCGGGAGCTCCAAGAGGGGGTCCGAGGACGAGGAGAAGAAGAGAGGTTTCCTGCCGTCAGAAAGCAACGTTTGGCACTGAGTCGTTTTGTGCAGAAGGCACAATCAAGCTGTTGAAGGAATGCAACAAACATTGGGAAACCATCGAATCATAAGTCACAAGAAGATTGAAGGAAAGCAGAAATCAAAGGCCCATGAAACCAAAGTTGTGCCCCAGCTTCGTTGGTCCACGCATGAAATCATGCCCTGCAAGAGACTGCACGTCAGCACCTCGATGGTTAGACTTCCCACTTGGGTGGTTTCACACACTTTCCCTGTAAATCGTTACGGTTCAAAGCGCCATGAACTTGAACCACGTCTCTTTCCGCGAACAGTCGTGAAAAATTATCCCGGCGAGAGACCCCAAACAGTGTGTGTGTGTGTGAGGTCTACAATCAGAAAGTCTATCTAGACGCATTGGGGTCCGGAGAGGTGACGGCGGTGATGAAGGTGAGGATCGTGGTGACGGCGGCGATGGTGGTGAGTAGAGTGAGTGAGTGTGAGAGTGAGAGTGAGACTGAAAGTGATGAGTGTGAGTGTGAGTGTGAGTGTGAGTGTGAGTGTGAGTGTGAGCGCGTGTGTGAGTTAGAGTGTGTGAGTGAGAGTGAGTGTGAGTGTGGATGTGAGTGAGTGTGAGTGAGAGTGAGGGAGTGAGTGAGCAGCTAAAACAGTGCGCTGCGCCTGCTACGAAATCTGCACGCGCCTGCTACGAAATCTGCACATCGAGGTTCACAAAGCGCTGCGCCTGCCACGAAATTGCGCTTCGAGGTTCACCAAGCGCTGCGCCTGCCACGAAATTTGCACTTCGAGGTTCACCAAGTGCTGCGCCTGCCGCGAAATCTGCACTTCGAGGTGCACAAACGCTGTGCCTGCCGCGTTCACAAAGTGCTGCGCCTGCCGCGAAATCTGCACTTCCAGGTTCACCAAGCGCTGTGCCTGCCGCGAAATCTGCACTTCGAGGTTCACCAAGCGCTGCAGAGCCTCCCGCGAAAACTTCACCAAGTGCTGCGCCGCCACGAAATCTGCACTTCGAGGTTCACCAAGTGCTGTGCCTGCCACGAAATCTGCGCGAGGTTCACTAAGTGCTCTGCCTGCCACGAAATCTGCGCGTCGATATCTATCTATCTATCTATCTAACTATCTACATTCTACATCTTGTAAATCCGCCGACCCCAGCCGATGGCGGGGGAGCGCGTCAGAGAACACTGCTGCATCCGGCTCCGTGCAGTTACTTGGTGCATGTTCACAGGGATTCAACAACTGCACTATTCGTGGCAGCGGGACACGACTAAAAGATGGACACCGGACGGATATCTTTGCGCCGGAGCTGCAAGTATTCAGGTTACGTGCATGCTTGCAAAGTTTGGCTTTAGCTGTAATAGCCAGAGATGCCTCTGGTTGGGGGTGCAGCATGCCTTCCGTGCGGGCGCAAAACGCACGAGGCCGACCACCGCTGTGGTAGAGCAGATCGTGGGGGCCTCCGAACAGGGTGCTGCAACACTGCTCCATCCTGCCGTCAGAAAGTAACGCTCAGTTTGGGTTTGGAATTAGAGTTTTGCACTGCCGTCAGAAAGCAACGTTTAGAATTGAGAGAGCAGCTCCGAGGACGAATTTTCTGTCGTTCTTGGAGTGGAATTAGATTGTGGAAAGCTCTCGCGAGAGAGATTACCGGGAGCTTCGGGAGCAGGTCCGAGGACGAGTTATAAGTCGTTGGTGGTGTGGACATCGGCGGAGGCCGGGTTTGGGCACATGGCTACGGACGAGAGGACACAAACAGCTTGTGCAAAACACCTAGACAGACAATGGCAAACACATTGGGCACAAAGCCTGGTTCAAGAAACCAATCAATTCAGGCGTTCCAATCTTGAGCACTTCATTCAATTCCTTCGTCCTTCGCAGCTAGCAGTGTGCTCTTCTGATTGCTTTGGCTGCTAACGGTCCCACTGGGGTAGGCGGCAGGGGGCATCAGCCCTTAATTTAAGGGCTTACGCCCGACAGCCGGCCAGGGGCCCAAGCAAAGGGCTTGTTGCAGTCGTGGTAGTGTTCTTGTTGTTGTTGTTGTTGTTGTTGTGGTTGTGGTCGTGGTCGTGGTCGTGGTCGTGGTTGTTGTTGTTGTTGTTGTTGGTGGTGGTGGTGTTGTTGTTGTTGTTGTTGTTGGTGGTGTTGGTGGTGTTGTTGTTGTTGTTGGTGAGGTTCTCGAGGTTGTGGTTGTTCTTGTTGTTGTTGTTGTTGTTGTTGTTGTTGGTGGTGGTGGTGGTGGTGGTGGTGGTGGTGTTGGTGTTGGTGTTGTTGTTGTTGGTGGTGGTGGTGGTGGTGGTGAGGTTCTCGAGGTTGTGGTTGTTCTTGTTGTCGTGGTTGTTGATGATGTTGTTGTTGTTGTTCTGTTCTTGTCGTTCTTGTGGTTGTGGTGGTTGTGGATGTGGACGTGGGTGTTGTGGGGGTGGTGGTGGGGATGGTGGTTGTTGTTGTTCTTGTTGTTGCCCCAGCACCCGCCCACGATGCAGACGAAGCACCCCGGTGAGGCACGCATTTCCAGCATTATTTGGGCCTATGTTGGGCCTATGTTGAGCCATGTTGACCCATCTTGCGCCCCAAGAGCGGAAAAGTGGAAGAAGCAGAAAACACTGTAAAACACACGATTCTACATGGTCTGTTGGGGGGTCGGCGGCAGGGGCGGGACGCCACTCTCTCCTACGGAGAGGAAAGACGCCTACGGCAAGGACACGGCCCGAAGGAGAGAGGGGAGTCCCGCCCCTGCCGCCGACCCCTGTGGAATTGTGTGTTTTACAGTGTTTTCTGCTTCTTCCATTTTTCCGGCTTTGTGGCTCCAGATGGGTCAACATGGCCCAACATAAGCCCAAATAATGCTGGAAATGCGTGCCGCACCGGGGTGCTTCGTCTGCATCGTGGTCGGCTGCTGGGCTAACAACAACAACAACAACGACGACGACGACAACAACAACAACAACGACAAGAACACTACCACGACTGCAACAAGCCCTTTGCTTGGGCCCCTGGCCGGCTGTCGGGCGTAAGCCCTTAAATATTTCAACAGATTTCGCGTACGATGGGGCAAATGCTCTTATGTATCATGAACATCTCACCCAAGCGTGCCCGCCCGCATGAGCACTTGGGCAAGTTCCGGCTACGCTGCTCCAAGTCGTGCAAAATGGCCTTGTAGGGCCTTGGCTGTCAGCAACTTGTGGGACTGGACAGGAGCTTGAAAGTGTCTGCAAAGCATTGCTCGAATTGCTCGAATCTAGAATCGCCTGATTGTCGCCAGAAACGTACTAATCTGCAGAACTTGTGCTTGAAAAAGATGTAATTACTGCGAGACCATCCTATTTATGCAAATCTTCTTGCCAGCCGTGCTGGGATTGCGACCCCCCTTGCACCAGCTTGTTTAACTGTTTGGCACCCCAATAAGACTGGTTTTGTGGATCTGAAATGCCCCGAGTCGTGTCTGTGGCTTCTCTCTGCCATTCTGAGAATCGCACGAACAAGGGCCATCAAGCATGTAGAAGTTGAACCAACACGCGTGTGCATCCACGCGCTGCCTTAGAGGTGGGTGTAAGCCGAAAAGACGCCGGAGTTTACATATCTGTCAGGTGCATTTCCGAAAACACCAGGACTAGAGAATGTCCTGTTCAAATTGAGTTGGAGATAGTTGGAGTACATACAATGTACACACAATTATGACATATCATGACTGTAATTTGGGAAGTGCATCTCCTGCCAGCGACTAGTCTGACCGTTGGTTTTGAATGTTGAAGTAAACCACTCCTAGCTTGGACACTAGCTTGGGAAAGCTCTTGAAGAACAGTTTGAGGAGTAAAGGCAATGGTGCCAGAGCTTCTTCCACCCAGTGATGAAGTGCTCCTGCAAAGAAGCTGTTTCAAGGGAAAGGGGCAAAGCTACACTATCAATATCACGCTTGCCTACAGATCGGCAAGTTTATATAAATCCGCCAACACTCCCCCACACACCCCCTCAAAGCACCCTCCAGCTTTTCCCCACCGAACCATTAACCTGGGCCTCCAAACTTCATCGTCTCAACCAGCTCACGGCGGTTCTCCACCATGTCCTGGTCTGGGCAGCTCGCCACAGTTCCCATTCGCCCCACAGATCCTGGTTGTCCTAACCATCAAGGTATAAAGATGTATAAAACCGTGCATAAAAAGGTGGATAGTCCACCCTTTTGCAGTTCTCAGCCGACATAAAGACCTTGTGTGTGTGTGTGTCCACTCCTGTTTCCAAGGACACTACCCTAGTTTTTCTAATCTACCCTACAAGCTTTTCTGTACAGAAGCAGGGGGCGACAGAGTCGCTGCATGGCTGTCGCCAACGAAGCTCCATGCAGTTGACTAGGATATCACGGCTGATCACCGTGACGTACCTGCAATTTAAATACTAATTTTGATGTTCAATCGCTGAGATTTCTAAGTCAGTGCAACGCTGTCTCATACGTTGTTTCCTGCAGTATCTAGATTTAAAGGGCTAATGCACACCGCGAAGCTACCTGAAATCACGCTCCACGGAGCAACCTTCTCAAGTGTGT